TGACACCAAAATGACTGCGAGTCATTTTGGTGTCACCCCTCCAATGGTGTCACCCGGGTGCAGGCCGCACCCCCCGCCACTGACCAGGGCAACTGAAAATCATGGGATTTCTTGTGTTGGACAGTTAAAAGCGCTTTTCGAACTGCTCAAAAACTCCTAGGTGTGAACCAGGCCTTATAGCTTGCTTCATACAACTACATCTTCTATCTCTGCACCTCCATATTTAAAGTGTATTTCCACTTTAATTTAAAATTTACCCCCACCATATGTTTGCTATGCACAGTTAACAATTGATAATGAGATCTGCCAGCACAGTACAGGTAGGATTAATTATGGTAAACAGAACTATCCTTCCTTCAGGAGGGTGGCTACCTTTGTTCCCCATGGTCCCTGTGTGTATTGTAAAGTAGCCACCGCTCCAAGTTCACGCCCGCGATGGACTACAATCTTAATACAAATTAGTAAAATAAACATGAGATTGTAGTCCATCACAGGAGTGAGCTTGGAGCACTGGCTACTTTACAACACACACATGGACCATAGAGAACAAAAGTAGCCCCCTCCAGATCGAAGGACAGTCAACTAATTCAGAGATAATTTGAGGATTTACAGCCGAGTTATGTACAAATAAGATACAGTATTGTTCATAATTTAGGTACTTAAATGCATTTTTTAGATTTGACGCCTTAGTTTAGTAGCACTTTAACATTACAAAGAAGGGGAAAGATAGGACTTTTAAGCAAGTAAAAATTTAAGCTGCAATTTTTAAATATATATATTTTTTAATTTATGTGATGCGAATGGGAACATGCGACACATATAAAGTAGGTGTTATCCCAATTTGGCTGCAAAAATGGAACTACACTTTAAAAAGTAATCTGCTGACCTGGACATTTGGATGCAACCTAGGTGCCTGCTGTCTCTAGTGTAAGAACTGACTCAAGTATGCAAATCTCATAACTAGTAACTAGCATTTTCAGAAGGTGAGAAAAGCAGTGGTACCATGTTTTTCTCAGGGTTGATTTCCTCTTAATGATATTACGGAGGCACGGATATCAGCTGCAGTAAAGCTGGACAGGTTGAGCCCTGCTCTGGAGGTAGAACACAGCCTACGAGTCGGCCAATGACCATTTCCACCTAAAGATTCTCACACTAGTACCTTCCTAGATTCCCTGCAGGTCTCTGGATGGTTTGTTAGTATTCAGCACCGTACTGAAAAAGCTACATACAGTGAGGAGTACAGTAATCCACTAGCAGGAGACACTAAACAAAGTATCAGAAGTCTAAACTAATCTAATCTAAATTGGTCTAAAACAACAGCAAGTGAATGCCAACATACTGAATCCATTGGTAAAATAAAGCAAAGACAACATGTGACCTATAACAACCAACCAGCACTTGGATTGCACTAAACCTACTCCTATAACCTAAAATATGATTGGTTGCTATGGGCCAAGGAATTCCAATTTGCATATCACTTACAATAACTGGGCCAGGCAGAGGGAGTTATTAGAAGTGCTCATTATAACAAAAAGAGATTTCTAATGGATTAGTGGTTGCTTTGGGGAGAAAAATTGTGACAAAGTCGCTGCAATACGACAAGCAGGAACAGATCCCTCATAAGCAGCCATCGTTTTTGAGAGATCTGTTACAAAGCTTGGATACACACAGAAGGATGCCACACCAAGAAGAACGGTCAACAAGACATCTACAACTCTTCAATCCCACTCATGGAATGCACCAGGTTGTTTTCCCCTGATTGGCTAACAGGAATATGTGGCACAAACAATGTGTTGTGCTGTATGTAATAATGAATTCCTCTGATAATTGAGCACTTAATACTGCCCCCTAGGGTAACCATACACAGCCCCATGTTTGCCCCCATCCACACAAGAGTCAGGCACATGTTAATAAAGATGGGCACCTAAATGCATTCTCCATGACACATATAAATCTCCTCTGTACTGTGCACAAAGTATGTATCCACTTTATTCTCCAAATATGCAGGTCTCATTTTTTTAATATATGCAAATAAAATATTCACAAAACAATACATGCATGGCATGCAAAAAAAGTATGCACCATGCGTAACAGCATAAAAGATCAATGAACACATTCTGAATATGTAAAACTTGGTGGCCATTTTTGCCTGGGATGCATAAAACCAACGTCCTGAAAAAAAAAAAAAGTTATTCTAATTTAATGGCGTTTCTCCAGTCAGCGGTAGAAACAATTTTTTTGTCTCTGGTAACAGGTACAATCCTTCTGTCTCACTGGAGCAAATGTACACACTACACTCTCACCAAAGAAGGTGGGAAGGCCACTCTGTACACCAGCTCCACATAAATGTCATGTCAGGACAGTGAAGTCCAAATCCCATTCGCACTGCCACGGTCTCAAAACCACAAGGTATATGTGGTGCCCAGGTGACCACACGGATGGCGCATCATCAGAGCGACAGTGAAGGATCCCTGTGCGGACCCGAAATGTTAGCACCGTATAACAGTATGTGACATTGGGTATTGAATAAACATATCAATACTTTAAAAACCCTTCAAGTGTGTGCCGGTGATTTACTTTTATTAACTGTCGCTCTGATTAAGGATCCCTATGCGGACCTGAAACGTTAGCACCGTATGACAGTATGCGACATTGGGTATTGCATAAACATATCAATACTTTAAAAACCCTTCAAGTGTGTGCCGGTGATTTACTTTTATTTACTATTAATGTCAGGACAGTGTTCTCCATTTGTAACAATGTGGTAAATGGGGAGAGCTTAACAGAAGAGGACAGGGTTTGACTATGTCACTGACAGAATTTCTGTCCTTATAAAAACACCAAAAAAGATTATTAGGGATAATATATCAAAATCAGCAATGGGCAATTGTCTTCTCGCAACTGCACAAACAAGACTATAAAAGGTGGAATATGGACCTGTTTCAAGAGACAGCTGAGGCTGGTAGAGATATCCCTTAAATTTCACACAGGCACTAGCAAAAAAGTTCTACCCCAGGAGGAGAACAGGGCATTTTAGGTATCAAGTCTGAATGCTTTAGACTGCATCTAGGGTCCTGTGCATCCCAAAAAGTGAATGGCAGTGCAAAAGTATCACACCAAGAGAATGCTACTTGCAGCAAAGCAATTTCCTCTTTTGTGTCTGAACACAACAAATCACATGAAATCCTGAACAGAAAAGACAGAAACAAAAGGATTAACATCATCATTACTACACATTACATGATATACTCGGTGAATACGATGAAATCTGGTGACCTTATAGAACTCTGCGCATACTACAATACTACTTCTTTGAATGTTTAAATAATTATCCCAAAGAAAAGAAAAAACATTGTAAAGCTAAGGCTATTAAATATTCTCATTTTGTGGCTAGTAAAAAAAAAAAGAAAAGGAGTACACTCTGTCCTATGTTAGATTTTTGAAAATCTCAACAAAGAAAGCTGAATTGTGCTGTATATAATCCAGAATTCCCTATAGGCACAGAGCCAATTAAAGGCAACATTTCAGGACCTTCAACAGCCAGAACAGACATACTTTAGCATTAATAAATCTAAACTGCTGTATGCTTGGAATAAGCTCCACATACAGTATCTACATGAAACACAAACTAAAATGGTTTTCTGGTAGGTGCAATGCTAAGTATAGTAACAGAAACACCAATCATATTTCAAAACTGCATCAGTTTGGAACAGTCAGATCAATGATTGGTTGCTCTGGGTTATTGCACCCTGCACAGCCTCAGTGAGAAAGCAATAGAGATCAGTATACTTACTAGTTCCTTCTTGGTGTCCATTTCTCGCTCCAGCTCTTTCGAATTCTTCTTGTGTTGTTGGGCCTCCTGCCTCAGAGACTTGTTGAGCTCATCCTGGTGATGGAGCTCATTAAGGACCTTGGCCTTCTGGCCCTGCAATTCTTCAATCTCTTTCATCTTCTTCTCCATGTCCTTCTCTAGTTTCTCTACCTCTTCTGTAAGCAGAATATTTCCAGATTACTACAGCTCTAGAATTTTAGCCATGTACAGCCATCAAACTTTAACTTTAAGGGACATAACCAGTCATCCTCTCATGGCAACAGAAAATCTTTGCTGCCTAGGAAACTGAATGATCACTAATATACCCTGTTTCCCCAAAAATAAGACCTACCCCGAAAGTAAGACCTAGCACTATTTTTCAAGATTCCTGTAATATAAGACCTACCCCGAAAATAAGACCTAGTTTGGTGGTAGCATGTGAGGGGGAACTTGCAGGAGTATACATATATATATATATACACATATATATATATATACACATATACATATACATATACACACACACACACACACATACATATATACATATACACACACACACACACACACACATACATATACAAATACACACACACAATATTTAAACTTTTACCCATATTAAAGCGTTCATGTGCTTCTTGTCTTTCCTGGTTTGTAATTGGCTGACCATCTAGAACATTCAGGGAGCGCAGGTGAAAAATGATGAAGAGACGATAATGGGGAAGATTAGCAATTGGATTATCCGCCAAGAAGAGCGACGTTAAATCTTTTAAGGTCTTCAAGCGAGAAACATCCTGCAACTGTAGAAATACCACAATTTATACTGAGAATGTTTAGGCACACAGATCATGGGAAGCCAACATATAGGCCACAGAAGTCTACATTTGTTAACGAAGGAGTAACAATTTTTAATTAGTAATGTATCAGCTTCTTCAGTTCATTCTCCCATAATGTGTTAGATTAATACAATTGCTACAATGGATAACTAGATCCCTAAGAGACACTTTGATAAATAAAGACCGTTCAGTTCTGGCATTGTTATTTACGCATGTACCAAGCGTCACTTACGGAGAAGATTTTATTCTGCTTCAGATTCAGGGTGTTAAGTGCTTTTATCTTCTTTCCAAACCAGACAGGTATGTGCTCAATCTCATTCCCAGCCAGGTTCAGCTTCTGCAGGTTGTACATGTGCTCCAAACCTTCAATTTTACTGAACAAGAGATCAGACATTAAGTAACCTCATTTTGCAAAGCTTTCACACTGCATTATGAATAAATTGCATATTTAGTTTCAGTACTATACAGAGCCAAACAATATAATATTGCTCTGGCCTGCAGCTTAACCAAACACAATCCAACAGCGGAGCCTTCACATTGTTATTACTGGCATTATTTCATTTTTTTGATGAACTGCACATTACAAGAGATAGTATCACATAGTATCATAGAAATGGTGAAAAAATGGCTAATAAACAATAACTGTTATATATTGGTAAATACATAGACAATGCATTTTATATGCAGGATCATCTATAGAAGAAAACAAAACATGAAAAAGCAGCAAGAGACTTCCAAATACAAAGCACTGTGTCAGATACTCATTCACGGTAATACAGTATAAGAAAATAATAAATAATGTATACATGAAAAAGCAGATGTTTGGCTGGAAGGAGGTTAAAGATTACATTGAACAGCACAGTAGAGGAGGGAGGTAATTAGGTATGCAAGTACAGTGGAGCTACTGGGCAGGATTCTTTTAGCCTAATTAGCATCTTGTAACCAGAAAGATCAAACCTTATTGAATTTGGTTAGCTGTCCTCTGTTAGGATACACAAATTGTTTTGTAGGGAAGGGACATTAACAAGTGCAAGCCATATATATGAGTGGGATCAGAGGTAGACAATCAACTTAGTACAATGGATTTACAAATAAAGAACAATAGTTCTGAAATTGTAATAGTTGTGTAATGTTCAGTGAAGTGTTCACTATCTATACCTAGCAATCAAAATTTGAGATCAATTTGAGACAGGATAGACTAATTGATCATGTATAAAACAGCAACATGAAGCCAAAAGGCATAAAATGATTGGGCAGAAAAGATGATAAAAAACATACCAGTTAGGGACTTGCATTTAGGACACCAAAGGAGAGCAGAAGTAATGAAGTATGGCCTGTCTCCTTGGGTATGCACTATGCACAATGGAGGATTTAAAATTGAGCAAGTCTTTCCCTGACACATGGGAAGGCTTGCTTTGGGGTCTCTAAGACCTCTTCCCATTCTTCTGCACATTGGTTTATTTTTTTAATTTATTTTTACCATAGTCGTGTCATTATTGCCAAATATGAGTGGTTAGAATATACAATGTAGGTAATCTAGAGCTGCAATGAGTGACAACTGTCTCCCAGTAAAAGCCATATCTTGAATCATCCTGAAAAGGGAAAATGTCTGCAGACATTGGTTTAACATGATCACAATGCAAGATGCTCTAAAAATACCCCCATTGTATATAAAGGTGTTCCAATATATAGAGAAAAGGAGTTTCCAAACCCAAGCATAGCAATTAATTCAGAAACAAAATTAGTGTAAAGTAGATGTTTTTATCATACTAAAATGTGTGTTGCATATACATGCCCTTTGCAAATCATATGCCTTTCATACACAGTCTCTAATTTTCTGATCTCCATTATAAAAACTCACTGGTTTCTGTTTTGAGGTTACCTGATTCTGTTTTGTGACAGGTTCAGCTCACGAAGACGGCTCTGTTTCTCCAGTTTCTCAATTCTCTCTAGGAGATTATAACTGAGATTTAAAACTTCCAACTTCTCACATTTCTCCAGATTTTCTATATACTGAACACGATACAGAACTGTCAGTCAATAAAATAACACAAACACTAAGCATTTTAACTCCACGCCATGGGTGACTACTCTTCCCATAACCTGTAATTCTGCACACTCAGTGACACATTCCCACCTCTGACCTGCTCACTGGAGTACCAGAGAACACTGTGTTAATCCACCCCGAGATGTTTCCATCCTTTAAAATTCACCCCCACCTCCCTTCCCTCCAGGTTTTTCTAGGAACACTTACATGGAGAAAATAAAACAACACAAATTATACATAAATAAAATATAGAGAAAGGGCTGAGCTCTGAACTGCCTTTGTGGGCCAGTGCATCTTCTGCATTCAGTCACTAATAGTAAGACTAAAGCTGGGCACACAGTTATACTTTTTTCATTCAGCCTGCAGGTTGAACAAAAAAAATGACAGATTCCTCCATGCATGCTTAACAGCATGGATGAACAAATCTCATGTTGTGTACATTGTATTCTGACAGCGGCGCTGGACAAAATTTGTTCTTTGTGTACCAAGAAGCAAGGTCTATGTAAGACTAAGCACAGTGAGTAACATCCAACTGAACACCTTCCCCATCTCTACACAGGCCAGTCAACTCAAATAACTTTCTCCCATCTATTGTAGCTATGCGTTTTCTCTTGAAACAACATGTTTTTTTTTTTATAATGTCCATTCGCAGTTCCTCAGAATCCAGGCCTGGCCTGTTTTGTTTGGATGGCAAGAATGTCTTTATTTTTCTGCGCTGCAGAACTGTACTAAAGCTTTTAGTGATCTGAAGGACTCAGGAACAATGTGACCTGAATACAAGCTACGCCGACTCTGACCTACAACAGCTATCTAGATCTATCTGAAGAAAAACAAAAACAGTCACAGTTAATAAACATTTTTCTTTAGTATTAGACCAACAAAATAAAACTCTATTATATTTCCCATTGTTATCAAATATTCTCAGGATGGAGAGACTTTTGGTTTTTCATGGAAAAATAAGTTGGTCATCATGGTTATTATTAGAAACACATAACTCCAGCTGAATTCCCCCTTATTTTTGACTCTGTATGATAAGTGATTGGGTCTGTATAAAGTATGACTTCATAAAGAAAAGCACCTTGAATTTTTTGCCTCCTTCCTTTGAAAGACAGAGATTTAAGGCTGTCACAAACGCCAAGTTTTCCTGTTTCGACAATTTGTGAATAAGGTTTTCAGTGATGTAGCGAATTCCAGGTTCATGACCTTGTTCAAACAAAAAAAAAAAATATATAGAAGAAACATAAATGGTTATTCATTGGAGTGGAGGGATGTGTGTGTGTGTGTGTGTGTACCTATTCTACTTATTTAAACATAAAATAATATCAATTACAAGGTTATGCAACTTTGTCACTCCAACTCTGGCGAAACTACAATCCAATGTCTGTGGCTGCCATAGCCTTGCAAAGCATAAATGATGATTGCACTGCATTATCACTACAATTGTAGTTCCACAACAGCTGGCTTTCAAAGGCTGCCTACCCCTAATATATTATATGCCAATATCAGTTCAGAATACACACAGTGGTCAGAAAAATAGAAACCTAGGTTAAGTACCACAGTAGACCTCCTATGCAATAACAAATGCCATGCTTTGGCCATGACTCTAGAAAGGTCCTTCTGCATCCCAGTGTTAGGCTGACCGTGTAAACATCTGTGCATTTCACTCTCCACTAGTGTCCACATCTTTTGCAGGAAGGGTTTCCCATTTTCTAGCCAACGAGTGTATGTTTCATTCTGTATAAACAAAGTAAACTGACACTAGATACCTTGATGCATCTCATACTCTGATATTTCACTGTCCTCCGTCATGTCTAAGTTATGGCTGATGACTCCACCCCTTGGATAAGATGCAGAGTTTTGGGGTTTCATTGCTGGAGATGAAGATTGTATATTTGAATTCAAAGACCTCAATAAGGGACTTCTGGAGTTTTTCTTCATTGTTAAGATTTTCTCCAATCATATATTGTGCCCTGCAGAGAAGAAAAGACAAGTGTGACCTTCTGATTCTATATGATGTGTGCATGAGCTCCCCACAAATGTCCCCTGCCCGCACCTAAACTTTGCTTTCTGTCGGATGTCTGACTCGGCTGAAAGAATAATGAACACTTTACAATTATCTACAACATATCCTTGCAGCTCTGGAGCAGACACAATCTGGAGGAGCTGTAGATGGCAACCAATCAGCTTCTAGCTTTCATTTTTAAAGCTTAACTAAAAACAAGCTGATTGGTTACTTTGCACAGAGGCTCCAGTTTTGGTAAAATTCCCCCAATGTCTTTTGAACAGTAGAAATGTCACTGGGGGTAGAAAAGCCCACTTATTATTTTGTAGCAAGACTCCGAAAATGCTGGTAACACATTTCTAAGTTTAATAAAACAGTTAGGTGTGGTGCTACAATCTCCCATCTGAACCTCGGCTTTGGTTTCCAAATGCTATGCAGAAACCCCATATCAGCTGAATATAAGAATAGAGTGCGTCTGGGCATCAAACATGTACAATGTTCAGCCAGGTGAAACACCAGAAAACTCACCGCACAATGAGAACGATTAACAACATCTGAGCAGGAAAACAAAGTATTGTGAAAAGAGTGTTAAAAAATAAACAGGAAACTAGAGCTGACTAATGTCCACTTCCTTCCTCTTCTTGGTATACAATTCTCTCCATATATGATGTGTTGAATTACCCTGTCGTATCTGTTTGTACATTCATTGTTATTTATTACTGATATTCATACAATACCAACAATTTATGAGGCACTTTTCATAGTGTACATTCAGATCAGTCCCTGCCCTCAAGAAGCTTGCAATCCAAGGTCCCTACCTCACATACAAACAAACTAGGGCCAATTTAAACAAGAGACAAATTATCCAACCAGCATGTCTTTTAACTGTGGGAGGAAATCTATATAGCAAGACATGCTAATTTCATGCAAATGGTGCTGTAGCTGGCTGGGATTCAAACCGAGGACCCCAGCACTGCAAGGCAGAAGTGCTAACCACTAATTCATTGTGCTGCCCAACTAGATCACTATGCACTGTTTACCAGTAAG